CACTTTGGCTTATTCCTTAAAAATAAGAACAGCAGCCTCAGCAGCACAGCACCCCTTACTGCCTTGGCTGAATTGCTGTCTGACTACTGAACCTCCAGGTCCATCTTTTGCTGCATCTTCCATTTATTTGGAGTCACTTCTTATACCTACCTCCCCCTCTCTCAAATTCATCTGAAATACATATACCAATATTTCAAAAACTCCAGTGCAAACCAGACACAGTGATAATTTTAAAAGCTATGCTGCTCATGTCAAATTATTCAACATCTGTCTTCATGTTCCCACAGAAATTAGCATAGGATGGTGGTTTCTGATGACACCTATAGTGAAATATTTTGACTTCATTCAGCAAGTTGCAAACAACCTGTCAAGAGGATAATGTCAGTTTTCTAGTACTGCATATTAAAGTCAATTGAGGGCTTATCTGGTGTATGAAGCTACTGACCTGACCTAAAACTAGAGGCTCTAGTGTCACAGGAGAGTCAATGTGACACATTACAGCTGGAGAACAGCAAGGCATTCTGAAGCACTGGGCTGGATAGATTTAATGCCTTGACCTTAAAGAGCTGTTAAAGACTTATGCAAATCTTGGATCAACCCAGTCCTTTGGTGAGTCTATTTCTATGGCACTCCAGTTAGAAAACTCATTCCTCAAAAGGCTGTATACAGCCTAAGCCACCACAGATTTAAGGGCTGGACAACAAAGATAAATGGTTGAGCACAAAAGATGTGTGAACACGTGTGTATGTTTTTATATATATACATACACACATATATAGTTTGGAGGACCACTGCATTCATACTTCACATTTTCCAGATAGAATCAGTCAAAAAGTGACTCACAGAGCCAGCTCTGCCCCTCCTTTAGCCAGTGATCTGCTCAGCCATTTCTGAGGGCACAGGGTATGCTGAGATGACAGCAAGGTGTCTGGAGAGCTCCATGTCTTGGACCCCTGTTCCTGCCAGCAAATCAGCTCTAGGCAGAGGCAGGTGAGAGGGATGGATCCAGGTCACCAGGCTCCAGGTGACATTAGAGTGTCTGTGCCCCAGAAACTGGCAGCAAAAGACATGCACGCACACAGGTTGCAAGACTGTGTGAGGCATACTGCATTGTAAACTCTAGTAAAAGCATTTTTACCTTACAGATAAAAGGAGCAGGAAACAAATCCTGTCATGTGTACATGAAATGAAAAAGTGCAGATGTTTATGGCTTAAACCCAGGATATGTTTTACCATGACACTCCTCCATCACAGACACAAGGAAACAGTCTTCCAGTAGATTTATTTTTTGGCTGTCTGTAGTGGCATCTCAGGGGTGATGGTGCCTCTTTAAAGAGAGAGCCTTAACAGGTCATTTATTCCCCACTTCTGAGGCCAGGGCAGGCCCACTCTGGTCTGCAAGTGCTTCACCCCCTCCAGTTTCAAGTGCAGCCCATCCAGGCCCTCTGATCATGGTACCAGCCAGCTTTCCCTGCTGCCCAGCCTAAACCTGCCTTCTGTTTCCTTTCCATCACCCTGTTGTATGTAGCCCCTCATCACATATTGTGATGCCCATTCCTGAAATGCCTTTTCTGCAGGTGAATTTTGAGAGGCAGGGGACAAAACATCCCACTTTTTTATTCCACCTGAAAGGCTGCTGCTGATCAGCTGGGCTGTGCTAGTTGCAAGACAACCCAGAAGTGTGAATTATATCCTGCACATGGAGCAAGCACAGCAGCAGCACTGTGCACACTCTGAACCAGAGCTACACAAGTCCTGAAATCTACAGAGTGGGAAGCAAGAGGCACACTCTTCCCCTTGAATACCATCCCCCCACAGCACCAATCCTCCCCTTTCAGTCTAATTTATAGTCTTAAAGTCTTGATAACTCCAAGCCTGGACGGGCAAGTCCCCTGTCTCCTTACCTCTTCCTTCCTCCTCCCCAATTCTGACATTTTCTACAGATCTGTTACAACTTGCTCCTTATCTTGACCAGCAGCATTAACGCACCAGGATTGAAAGGCACGTGCAGCCCGGGAAATGGGCTACCACAAAAGGCTAATAAGAGTTGCTTCTTGGCAGTCTGCTGAATTGCCTTCCCAATCAGGCCAGCCTTGTCTCACTGCAACAAACAAGGCTAAAAGAATGGGATCAGCTAATGAGAAGAAGGTTTCAGACACACTTCAGTCATTACAACAAATGCCAATTTATATAACAAGCCTCTTCAGGTAGCAGGCATAAAGCACCTTGACTCCTAATTAAATTGCACCTCGACTGTAAATGCTCCTTTCCCAGAAACGCCCTTATACACATTTTATTTATACCATTCATCTCAATAAACCTCTCCAACAACTCTGCTCTCCTAGACAGAGGTCTTTTGTGCACATCCATGTGGGTGTATTATTTAAAGGGTACATCACATGGATACTTTATCTTGTTTAATCTGATTTAATCTCAGGAGATTTGCTAAAGCAAAATATATTTATAGACCCCTATAGATGCCTCCCCCAATCTCCACTGCCATACATAAATATTCAAAGCAGAAAAACGGATCTGAACCATGACACTTGAGTTCTCATAATTTCTACATTTGGTGCCACGTGAGATCAACATTCACAACACAGAATGGTCAAGTACTGCTTAAAGCTGTGGTGAGAGATTTAGGAAAAATCCAAGTGGGGGGGGTAGTAGGACTAATTTCTAATCCTGCTTTATTTATCCTCGCAAATATAACCATATCAATCCAGCTCTGCTCAACCCATCAGTAACAGCAATCTTGCATCCAAAGAAACAGTGCTGGCTGCACAAGGCATGCAAACAGCACAGGTTAGTGGACTGAAGACAGGATTGGGAAAGACAATATGAAAACTATCAGCCACCATTCAGTGTACTGATTCCACAAGACACTGCTTGGGCTGCGCTCAGTGACAGCTGTGTATTAAGGCTCCTGATTTTGGATAGTTTGAAGAGGTAGGGGTGGGGAGAGGAAAGAAGAGACTGGGTTTCCCCTTTGTGTAGTTAAGTAAGAGAACAGATACAAGTAGTGTACCATTTTGGCTCAAAAGAATGGCTTCATCTTAGTGTATGTCTCTATATGTGCTTTCTTTTGTACACAGTTTTTCCAATCTCTCTGTGAGAGAAAAAGACAAAAACATGAGTAAGTTATTCTGAAGATCTAATTTAGCAGCAACTGTGTCAAATGCAAGTTCACTGAAGTGGATGAAAAAATACATCAGGCAACCTTTTAAAGCACATTTAAGCAAACCTGGTTTTAAGCTCTGTCCCTCTTGCTACAATCCTGAGCTGAGAGGCCATTCTACAGCAACTGACAGCTATTCAGCAGCAAGAACACTAAAGTGAAATAATATAAGTTCGGCTAAAAGCAGATTACCTGTTTTAAAGGAATAAATAACATGCCCTGACCAGGTTTCTGTACCACAAACTCATTCTACTCCTCATCTTTCCAGCCTTCTGAGGGTCATACAATTTTCATCTGGACACGCAGACCGGGAGAAAACACATATACTGAGAGGAAGAAAGAAAAAAATAAAGGAAGCTAAACGCCCTCTATTTAAAATGGTTATTTTACAAAACAGACCCAAACTCAAATTAACACCCCAGCCCTCAAGGAGAAAGGAGGAATTGTTTCCATTAAAGAAATACATCATTAAAAAGTGACCTACAAAGACTTACCCACAGTCAGTGAGACTGAACTGATCTTTGCCAGAGCTCACACAAGAGACTGGCTGCGTGCTGTTAAAAAAAGAGGGAGCGGGGGGGCTGGATTCTCTCACTGGGGTCTCTCTTCAGAGCTCAGAGAGCCTGGCTTGTTAGAGGCAGAGGCATGCCTTCCAGGAGGACTTTACAGCAACGCACAACTGAGTTGTAAGCCAAGATAAAGCCGGCTTGTTATGAGAGACAAGACTTGTGGGTTGCTTTTATTTATTTTTTCCCAGTGTATTGGAAATGCAGATCTTGTAAAGCAAGAACTAAGAGAGGGCTGGGAGAGGGAAAGGGGGGCTGCACGGCTGGCTAACGTAAATTCCGGGTGCTTTCTCAGCCTAAGCTTGTGCTCGGCGGTGGCACAGGGTGCCATCCCCCCACCTCTGCCCTCGCACTAAGGGGCTGCGGGAGGCAGACCTCTCATGAGAAGACCATCCGAGCTTGCCATTTGCCACCCTGCCTGCAAACAAGGAGAGGAAGTAAGCTCCGTAAACGCAACAATAATAATAGTAAAAGATGGAAAAAAAATCAAACAGCCGGACATCAGCTCTACCACAGATCACCACCCACCCACCTCCATCACCTTAAGAAGAAAATCAGCAGCAAAGTTCCATAGGGTGCAAAATCAGCCTCGCCCCTCCCGGGGCGCCCGGCAGGGCTCGCCGTGGGGAGTGAGGGGGAGCCGGGGCAGGGCGGGGAGCCGGCCCCGCCGAGCCGGGAAGAGCCGCCCCCCGCGCCAGCAGCGGAGAGCGGGCTGCCCGCGGTAGCAGGGGAAGGAGACCCCCGAAGCTCCGACGCGGAGCCCCGCGGGGCAGCGCCGGCCGCCCTTGTCTGTGCTCGCCGTGCCGGTAGTCCTGCGAGGAAGCAAACCCGCAAGCGCAGGGCGGGGAGGGGATCCTCCATCCTCCCCTTGCCCCAAAGAAAATGCAACTCGGAGGTGCTCCCGGAGCCGCCCCCACCGACATCAGCGTGGCGTCCCCACGCGAGTGGGGAGGCAGGGCCGGGGCCCGTGTCGTTCCCCCGGCAGCAGCCCCGCTGGCGGTCCCTGCGTGCCATGTCGGCGGACTCGTATATGGGAGGCGGCCAGAGGTTACGGCGAGGAATTATGAAGTAGCTACAGGCGCTGGAAGCCCTATTGCTGCATCAATCTCTCCGCTCAGGCTGCGACGAGCTTCGCCGGCATCATTTACTTTCTCCTGCAGGTGCTTTTTAACTTTGATCCCACCGCTGCTGTCTGTGCCCTCGCCCCCAACCCCTCCGCCCTCCTCCGCATACAGCGACCGTGACAGGTCCCTTACCGTACACCCCTTGTCCCCTGCTGTACACCGGCACCAGAGACAGGAATAAAAAACAGATCATGTCCATCTTCAAGGCAGAGGCTTCATCGCCGGCGAAGAAAAACAGCCAAAACAGCTCAGGCAGCATCCGGCGGGGGAGCAAGGAGCAGCCGAAAGCCTCCCGAAACACCGCCCCATGCGCCCCGCTCCGCGCCGGGCACCGGCGTCCCTCGGGCGGAGGAAGGGACTCCCCCCCCCCCCAATCGGGGCCGCCTAGGGGTAAAATTTAAAAAAAAAAAAAAAAAAAAGAAAGAAAGAAAGAAAGGAATTAAAAAAGGAGAGAGAGAGTGAGGGAAGGAGGCAGGGAGGGCAGGAACGCGGAGCGCCGCTTCCCGCTTCCCCTCGCCAGGTTGCTCGAGGATCTCCAGGCGAACAGGCAGCCCCGCCCGTACTCGGGGTACAGGGAAAGGCCAGCCCGGGGGCACTGGGCTGGCGCCGGGATAGGGCAGGAGAAGGGCTCGGGCCAGCCCAGCGCTATCCCCCAGCCCCCGCGGGAAAGGGGGCTCCTTTGTTCAGCAGGAGCTGCCGAGCTCTGCCCGAAGTCCCGCGCTACTCAAAGTGCTGCCAACTGGGGCCAACTTCAGTGAGTTCTCGCCCTCTCTCCTCCTAGCGAGGCTCTGGCCGCAGCCCCAGAAGCGGACGGGGAGAAGGAGAAGGAGGTGGAGAAAAAGGGGGGAAGCGAGGGTGGGGGGTAGGAGCCAGCTGCTGAAAGGCGGAGGGAGGGATAGGTGATTCCTCTTTTCCAGATCTTCTGGGGAGGGGATTGTTGTAATTAATCAAATCCAGGAAGGATTTTGTGTTTGGTTTGTTTTTTTTTTTTCTTTTTAAAGCGGCTCCCAAGAGCTCCCCCAGCTGCACTGCATCGCCCCAGCCAGCCTGAAGGGAGAAGCAAACGAGGAGCAGACAGACCACGCACCCTCGTTTCGCCTGCAGCTCAGCCCGGCTCTCCTCGCCTCCTCCCCAGCCTGCCAGGTCCTTCTCCCTACAAAACTTTCCCTGATGTTGTGTGCCGGCCTCAGGTGGATGCTTTGCCTCCGCGTGTGCCTGCTCCGCCCGCCTCGCAGGGGATTTGCGGCTGTAGAGAGGCCCGTGTCTCTCTTCCCTCGACGGCTGCCGGAGCTCCTAGTGGGAACTAACGGGCTGCAGCGGGAAGGGAGCCGACGAGGAGAGATAAGAAGCTGGAGAAGATTGGACTATTCCTGCCAGATGCCAGCTGAAAACCGCTTGGCAGGTCCCTGCCCCACCGCTTTCTCCTGAAGCGCCAAAATTTCCTGCAAAAGTTGCTAGGAGCGTCACCGCTCCCCAGCCGGCCCCGGGGCGCTCCGCTCCACCGGTCCCCGACGGGGCGTCCGGGGGTTCCCACGCCCACCGGCCGGGCTGCCCCGAGGTAGCCTCACGCCTGCCGGCTCTGGCAGCTGCGCCTTATTTTCTTCTCTGTTGGCTTTCCAGGTTTTTCCCCTCCCCTCCTTACCGTTTCATTCCCCTTCGGTTAAAAAAAAAGGGGGAAAAAAAAAAAAAAAAAAAGAAGAAAGAAAAAGGAGCCAATTAAAGCGGCCGTGCTGGGGAGAGCCCAGCCTCCTGCCCAATTCTGCGGGCCTCCCCACCCCTCGCCCCAGCCCAATTATAGACAACACCGCAGGGCTGAGAAGAAAAATGGATTTGCTTCGGGCGAGAGATCGGTCGTCAGCCCGGGGTACCCCCATCCTCAGGACACTCGTGGCAAGGTCGGCTTCTCCCGGCTGGGACCTGAGATGCGAAGGGGTGGGGCGGGGGGCAGCTCAGGTTGCCCAGTGTCTCCTATGCCGGCGCTGGCTGGTGCCAGCAAAGTTTTTGGGCCCCCCCAGGTAGGTTGCAGGCCGGCGGGGCTGCCTTGTGCATGCTGCCAGAGAGCGGCGAGGCGGGGGTGCCGTACGGGCCCCCAGCCTGGTGCGAGGCTGCGGTGGCCGCGGTACCCGCCGGACTGCCGGCCCCGGGCCGTGGTGAGAGGCTCGTACATGAGACTCGGAGCCGGGGAGCTGTGCATGCCGCCTCCGCTCTTCCCCGCACCTCGCAGGGCTCGGAGCGAGAGGCTGGGAGGAGGAAGAGGATGAGGAAGCTGCGCGAGCCGCGAGCATCGTCACCGGCACTGGGGGGCTGCTTTGCCATCACTATCTCCGTCTGCTTTGCGAGAGGGACAAAACGCTGCTTCTGGGGAGCCTAGACCTGCTCGCCGGCGAGCCCGCCCATGCCTGGCCCGGGGCCGAAGCAGTAAACCCAGCCCGTCAAGCGGAGCCAGCGCCGTGGAAACCCGTCTTAGGGCGCGTACTGCTCCCGGGAGCCCGGCTCCGGCTCGCCTCTTCCCCGGCGCTGGCCCTGCCGAGGCTCTCAGGGACGGGCTGATGCGGGTGTCCCTTAGCGACAGCGGGTCCTCTCCGGCTCTTCCCTCGGGCTGGTCACTGCGCGCCCTCCCGCCTCGGCCACGCGTGGGCTCGGCACGCTGCCCCCGGGCGCTCCCGGCCCTGTCCCGCGGCTCTGCACCCATGCCCGTTCCCCACGGCAGCTGGCGAGGGGTGCGGGACCCAGAGGGAAAGCGGCAGGCACTGAGTCGCCGTGTGAACAAGTCACTCCCTGATAAAAACGTAATTTATTAAAAAAAAAAAAAAAAAGGAAAGGAAAAAATATCAAGAGATATGGCCTAGAGAGAGCGACTGCCTGCTCAGTCGTGCTCTAACAAACAAGCAATTAATAGATATAGCCCCTAATTAGTAAGCAGTTATTCCTATTGTAAATGGTGCTCAGCGAGAGAGAAAAAGCAATAGCGTGCAGCAGGAGGGGAGCGGCGATACAAACAGGGCAGCTTCACCCCAGTGCCCAGCATCCCTGCATGGAGGAGGCATGGCAGGCGATTTCCCACTGGGCTCTATTCTATCACTTGTCAGGATACCGCCAGTATAAGACTGCCTTGTTTGGTTTTGTGGTCGTTTGGGGCTTTTTTTCCCTTTGTATTTTTTTTTCCTATAACCAAGCTAAGGGAACGTTTGCCAAGACACTGTGGGCTTCGCCCTCTGAGATGCCCTTTCCACAGCTGATGGAGTGGGGCACTTGTGAAAGCACCTGATGTGATCAAGTTTATTCCTTAATACAATAAACCCTTATCTGAGAAGGATTTAATCCTTCCTGTGGTGAGTGGTGGCAACATTAATAAAGGGCGCATAGGTAGAAGGAGGCAGCCAGCACCAGGAGGGGACAGGTGGAGCAACGCCTTTGCCAGGGCATAGGGAGAAGCAGGAGCTGACAATGACGAAACAAAGCAAAATTGTCCACATATCCATGAAGTAGGCTGAAAGCAACACAAGGAAAACGAGATGTAGAAATGTTTGCAGATCCAGGAAACTTCACAGTAACTAAAAAAAATCAACCAACATGGCAACATGGAGACAAGACTCTTGTTTTTTTCTGTGCATAACTTTGAAAAAAGGATATTTTGTTGGCATTTTGTAGCCTTTCCACTGTTTTTTTCCAGGGATTCTCATTAAGTTATGGAATAGTGCCTCAGTGTTTGAATGAGTATGAGTTACATATCTGGCTAATGAGTCAAAAAAAGAAAAATCAAAAAATGTGTGCTTCACACCCCTTTTTTGTGTTAACATTCAATGAACATGCTCATGTTTCACTGGCTCAAATGATTATGAAAGATGAATTTCAAAGTAAACTGACAAAGTATACTCTGAGTGGAAAAAAATGCTGCCAAAACGCAAGTACCTAACTGCATTTGCTAAATAAGGTAATTAATAGTTATTGCTTGAGGCCTGATAAATCATAGCATTCATAACTATGGAGTTTTCAGTGGGTGACAGCAAGGCAGCACTCCTATGCACACTTACTAAGCAAACTACTTGTCATAGGCAAACCATACTCTGTAGTGATTCTACTTGTCAAAAAGCAAAGATGAGGGATGCCTTTCCTCCCCCCAGACTGTGTCTGCAGAACATATTTGTCCCATCTTTCTATCTGGGAGTCAGTGTCTCTGGTCGCTTCTCAAGACCCCACTTGTCAAATGAGTCCTGTCTCTGAAATATTTATACATACTACATCACCTATATTTCACATCTATGTTAAGAGGTAGACAGTCTCTGGGACAGATGTGATGTTCAAAGGGAGCAAATCATATATAGCACAATGACATCAGGAAAGAGGTGATTGAAGAACCATGTGAGGCCAAGGTCCAGTTGTAACAACATTAATTATCTCTGTGTCAATGTTTTCATGCTGTAGTCTGGTTCAGTCTGTCATTTATCTCTTTTCTGGGATGATGCAACTATTTCTGGGCCCCAGTGATCTTTTGAGCTTGTAGTCTGACATTTCTATCCCCTCTTTCCTGTTCATTTTCTTCTCAGCACCACATCCAAGAATGACTCCATCATAGATTTGCATCAAAGACCTGAGCCTACAGGCTTGTCCCTGTGATGCTGCTGAGCTGGGCTGAGCAGGGGCAAGTGTCCAACCCAAGGCAGTGAGATGGAGCAGTAAGAGCCAAAGAGGGGAAAATGGGAAAGGGAAGGGAAAGCCAATGTGTGTGAGGAAAGGGAGCCCCATCAAACCATTACAAACGAGGGGCAACAGCACCATGTACTCTGCAATGCACAAACTATGGGAAGATGGGAAAGCATGGGTGAAGCTACAGTGATAGGATGCAGTTAAACTGTCCACTATCTGTTTTCCTTCTGTTTAATTGGTCTTCGTAGGAAAACTATAAAAAATATACTAAAAAAAAAATCCTAGTTTGCCATTCTGAAGTGCTAGAGTCAGAATCTCTTTGTGGGAAAAAAATGCCTAGGGCAGTGCTTCCCACCATTCATTACACCAGGCTGGTGCTGCTGCTGTCCTAGATCCTCCTGGGTATCTCCTGCTTCCAGTATGAAGCATGACAAGACACGGTTATAAATCCCAGGGGTTCTGCTTTGCTGTCCTCAGTTCTCCTCATCTCCACTCCAGGGAATACACCTATGCCGTGCTCACTTTCTTCCTAGATGCATTTTACAACATTAGTAGTACTTCTGAGCCTCTTGTGTATTCTCTGCTTTTTTGATTAGCTCTCCTCATCACAGATAGTGTTTAGTACAGAGAGGAGTGATGAAGAGGGAGTCCATCTCTATTCTTCACCCAAGACCTACCAGAGCTTTACCACCCTTCCTTCCCTGCACCTCCCAGATGCAGTTAGCCACAGGGTCATGTTGGGATTTCTGACAGCTGATTGCTATTGTACTGGATTTTGCTATTCCTGCCTCCTGCCTTTACCCAACTACACTTTGACAAACCTACATTTCCCGATTAAGGCTTATTTGAAACCATTGCAATCCTTTGCCCCTCTTATCTCAATGTGTGGCCACTCTTCTTTCCTTTGCTCAAGTGCTCACCCCATGCCCTCCCCCCTCCTTCTCCCACTTTTGCTCTAAACCCACAGGCTTTTAACTCAACGTTTTCTACCAATCTCTATGCCTTTTAGCCTATATATCTAGTTTTCCAGAGATCCTACTGGGCTTTTTTTTTGCTTTTGTGCTTTAGGACAGCTTTGGGCTGGTATAGGGGCACAGACAAGGGTCTCAGCATCACTGGGAGCATCTTTTTCCTGTTTCACCTTTTCTTTGATCTTTTTTCTTCTCTGCCTACTTCTCCTTCTAAATTCATACTTTCTTCTTCTTTCCCACCCTCCCTTTCATGTGTAAAAACTGAGTCAAAAAAATGTCAAGCTGGTGCTGGTCAAAG